ATATTTCCTGGACTAATTTTTTTAAAATAAATGGTAGCATAATAATGGAGATTCCAAAAATATATTCATTCTATGATCACTGCTGCCATATGTCAAACCAAAAGATACACAGGAATGGGAGTGGGAGGAAGAAATTAGTAATAAAAGTTACTGGGACAGTCGGACATCAGCGTAGAAGAAAATTAACCTAAGATGATCCACATCTTATACCAAACACTATAATAAGGTCCAGATAGATCAGCATTTCAAAAACTGGAAAAGAGCAGAATAGCATATTTATCCTATTTGGGAAGAGGAAAATAATTTCTGGCCAAGAAAACATGGGATATCAAAAGAGATGGAGTACTCGAGGATAAAAATGTAAACACTAGTGAGCACGTTTTGCGTTACAAAATGTAATGAAACAAACAGAAAACCAACAATAACAGAATGGGGAAAGATACAGCATATAATGAAGAAAAGCTTATTTCCAAACTATGTAAAAATTTGATAAAGTTGCAAGATGTCAACATTCAGGTTCAAGTTGATAAGAGTTTGTCGGCGTTTTTAAAGATCTTTTAGTTTCAACCGTAAGAAAATATTAAAATCGAATCATCATATCTTCACCACCTCCCGAAGTAAGCACATTAAAGCAATCTCAAGGCAGTTATATGTCTACTGAACTAGCAAAAAGTATGGAAACTACACAGCCTGAAGCCACAGAGGAAACGTGCACGTCCACCCCCACAAGAGAAATCAGTTCCACCCTTCTCGAGAGCAGGGAAACTGTGGCCTTCGACACAGTATCGCTCCTTTGGGTCTGACTTCAGAAACCCAACAGTAAGAGAGAAAAATAAAAATTATTTTTATAAAAATATTCACAGATAAACTATTAATAATTGGAAAAAGTAGAAAAGGCCCCAAATAGAGGAGCTAAGAATATATGACACAACAAAATACTGTAACATCATTTAAAATGACAAATTTAGGACTTGTGTGTAATGTGTGTAGAAAATATGTATAGAGCTGTGTAGAATGTGCATAGAAAAACAACGTTCATGAAAAAAGGACACATGCCAATGACAAGAAAGAAGAGGAGGAGGGGAAGGGAAGTTGTATACTGACGAAAACCTGAGATAAAACAGAAACAGATCAATGGTTTTATATTTACTTAAGTTCTTGGCTTGGGGGCCCTCAGCCTCACCTCCCATTACCTTCATGCTTGATCTACAGTGGCGTTTCTCAAACTACTAAGTCCTCCTGAAGGACCAGGTTTGGTTTTGTTATGTGTTTCATTTCACTTCTATTCATTAGGGAAAGATATGTGGTCTCACTGCATGTAGCTAGTTCTCCAGCCAGGTGTGAAGTTATATATGTAAGCAACACAAAACCCATACAGATCTATATCCTGTTCAAACAAACTAATCTGCTCCTGCGCCTGGATGTGGCTGCAATGTCAAGTTGCCATAGAAATTTCTAAACACTTACTCTCAAAGTTTGTACTTATCTCTTGGCACCAGTCAGCTGACCACACTTCCAGAAGCACTGGTCTAGAGCTGGGTGAACTGTCCAACTCTGAGTGTCTCACTGCCAAGAAAGTATCCCTTCAAGGACCTTCGGGGACACCAGGCAAGGCCTCAAGCCTTCAGAGCGGCCCACGTCAAAACTGGCTGCACATACCACCATCTGCGCGTTTGCAGATGCTCCCCAGGTCCCACACCCGTCCACCCGTCCACTCTGCCAGCCTCTGCCCGTGACCAATTCCCATAGCCCTCTGCTCGGTCCCCTGTGCTGACAGTCCTTAACCCCATATCCACTTTCATTTCACAACGATTAGCATCTTGCTCAATAAAATCTGTAGCTGTGAGAAACCCATGCTTCCTTCACTGGGGGCCACTACATTCAGAAGCTGAACCACGCATCCCTTGGCTCCTTGAGGGCAGGAAAATCACACTCATCACTGAACTGCAAAACCAGTACCTAAGCAGCACAGCGCAGGGCTGAACAAACATTTATGGAAGGAATGGTAAGTTTTACATAGTTATTTGTCATTCATTTACATAGTTTAGTCTCTCAAACTGGTCCTCAGTGCCCTTCTGATCTGGATTTAAAATACTTCGCAGCACTGGCTCCACTTCAAGTCTTTGGCATAACCAAACAATGGGGTTCATCAAAAGAAAACCGATGGCCACGCACAGAGAAACAGCCTGAGGCACCAGCAGGAATTCTAGCTTCTCAGGCGTGTTTGGCTAAAGTCAGGATCTAAGCAGCACGACACCAGAACTCCTGCCTTCCGGAATCAGGCCAGCCTCACATGGGTCTTTAGGACAGAGGTGCCATCTCCACACCCCATCCCACCTTGGACCCTATCTGGCTCCTGCTTCCAGAGGTCCCCAGCCCAGAATAGCCGATGTGTGCTTCTCTGCATGATCTTAGCTAAGTAAGATTCTAATTATCATTTACAGGATGCATTGAACAGAAACTTGACCAAGAGGCAAGACTTGATTTAGAAACCTGAAATTACAAGGAAGTCAAGAAATACCACACAGGGCACCTCCAAGGCTCTATAATGATTTCCTCTGACGACCACTCCCACCCCACCATCAAACCCTAAGAGAGAAGAGCAGCGTCAGAAGCCCCTGCGTTGTTTAAACTCGCTCTTCAGTGCATCTGAATATAGATACGAGTGCTACAGAGCCATTCATTTATTGCTTTATGTTGTAGGACCCTGCATACGATTTAGAAGTAACATCAAGGACAAAGTCACCTCTTTGTACACTGCCTGCCATTTAAAAGAATCAAAACAGTGGCAAATATAAAGGTCAAGGTTATAACATGTTTCAGAAGAGCAAGTGAATAGTCATTTTAAATAAAAATACACCACATTGTCAATCAGTAGGTGTTCAAAGAACTTTGTTTACGCTGGTGTGTTCTTGGAGACCAGCCCCCGCTGGAGGACAGGAAGGGAGAGTGAGCCTGTACCGCCACGCATTCAGGAAGGAGCGTCGCCACGTAACACTTGTTTGTATAACTACAGGACCGTGTGGAAAACAAGCGGTCATTGCCTCAAAGAGAAACATGATGTAGGGAGACAGAGTCACAGCAAATCCTTGTCCAGGACAAATTACCTGCTAACACGAGCTAAGACTGACTCACACATTCGTGCACCAGGGAGACAAAAAGGACAAGAACACAGTATTTTCTAGAACGTTGATTATTTAAAGAAAAGAAATGAACTAAACTGTTTGTAATGGTGAAAAGAAATAACCAGCATGCTCAAGAACAGATCTGCTTAGTAATTCATGGTACATCCATGAAACGTAACCCTCTTCAGCCATTCAAAACTGACTTGAGGTGAGTATTTACTGATAGGAAAAGCCGTACATGGTATTCTTGGGTGAAGAAAGCAAGTAACAAAAGTGTGTGTGTGTGTGTGTGTGTGTTGTAATATACACAGCACACACACTTCGTGGCACAGGATGTCATACCAGCACAGAGAAATGTGGGATTTTTTTTCTTCACATAATCTTTTGGCTTTGTCTAATTTATTTTTCAGGAACATGGATTCACTTACTTTTTAATAATAAAAACAGTATTTTTCTTAACTGAAAGTATTTAGAATCAAAAAATGTGCATGGACTAGAGTAAGCATTCCTTCAAATGTCCCCTTATCTTAAACTAAGCTTTCCTTAGGCTTTTGCAACCCAACTTCACAGCTTTAAGGGGCTGTATATTCTCACTACTCAAAGTAAAAGTGCGGTTTGAAATAACTAAGAGATCGTCTCGAAATGAGTAGCCAAGGAAACGTGGGAACACACAAGTAAAAGAGAGGTGACGTGGGAGGCAGACAAGAATGTGATTACAGCTGAGAAAAATGAAACTAATCAAGGACACCGTACCCCAGTTGGATGCCATCCAAGTTTACAAAAGGGGATGGTCTGTGCGGAGTCTGGAAAGGAAGTTGTGAGAGAGAATGAGGCTGTGATGTCTTCTCCGAGGGCAAGAGAAGTGGGGGGTGGGTGGAGATATGGGGCAGGAGGAGTTTACTCAGCAGAGAGAGACAAGCAGGCCTGCTGTCCTGATAACATTTACATCCTAGCTAGGAGAGAGAGAAAATAAACAGAAGGAGACATACAAGACAATTTCCAGCAGAAAGAAGAGTGATAGAGGAGCCTGAGGATGGAGACAGGAGGGTTGGGGTCTTGACACAGCACGGTGGGCATGGGGCATGGGGTGGGGGTAGGTCTTTGGGAGGGAGAGATCTCAGGATGAGGGGCCAGGCAAGCAAAGTGGGACGAGCACCCTCTCTAGATGGAAAAGCACATGCAGAGGCCACAACTCCAAGGAAAGCTTGGCCCTCAAAGAACCGAAAGAAAGTCAGGGTGCTGGAGTCAAGGGACAGTGAGGAGAGGTCCGCAGAGGCCAGCAGAGTCAGCCTCACAGGCACGAGAGGAACAGGATACAAAAACCATGGGAGGGTTCCCAAGTCAGAAGCACCACAACCTGATTTACATTTTTAAAGATCACTGTCTACAGGGAGAGGATCCAAAGAACACATGGTCACAAGGCTACTGTATAGTCTGGACCAGGGCTGTCCGATACAGTGGCCACTAGCCACATGTGCATATTTCAATCTAAATTTATTTAAATTAGGTTAAATAAAAAATTCAGTTTCTTGATCGCACCGGCCACATTTCAAGTGTTCAATAGTCA